GGTCCCTGGGCAACCCTTCTTTTGTCATGATATATTAGCAGCAAGAAAAAAATTCAAGTTAAGCAAAGGCAAAAGGACTAGCAAGCATATCATTTACACAGCTGTCAGAGTTTTGTTTTGTTAAAAAACGTAGTAAAAATCTATGTTAAATATATATTAATTTAAGATCACTGAGGCTATGATTGAAACAGATAGTGATTGATCATCTAAGGCCACACGGCGTATGATTAATATTCTTTTAGAGCAAAAAGCTGATAATTTAAAGCCAGATTCGGCAGCTTGTTACCTGTTTAATTTATGACAGGACCTGTCAATATGTGTCTGAGTGTGTGTGTTTTCCCCCCTTCTAATTCAGCCAGTTTGTAGGGGTTTTTCCTCCCCACTCACATTTTCTTTTTCCTCATCGTCGTCGTCCTTTTTCGTTTGTTGTTTTCCTTGCCTTGAATTATGACAGAGCAGAAAAAGGACATTCAGAGGCAGAGTCAGGAGGGGAGCCCAGTGGAAGTTATGGGCTACACATGTTGCTGTCTAATGTTGTTGTTTATGCCATTGTTGTTGCTGCTGTTACTGGAATGTGTAAGTAAGAAAATTGTTTTTGAAATGGCTAACAAGCTATTAGCAAACAAACAAAGGCAAAATGATGATGATGATGATGATGATGAGGGAGGCGTGAGGGCTGCAAAGTGACATTTAAGCGATTCATGCTCCTGTTTTAGCTCCCTCTCACTGGCTCCTTCATCAATCAGAGATTTGGTTTTTTTGTTGTCCAGAAAAATATGTAGAAAACAAGCAAAGAACCTAACACAGAGGCAATGATTTATGAAAGAACTATCGAACACAAGGCTCGAAATAAATTCTACGCAAGACAAAAGGCCATATCCCTTGAGGCCTGGAAAATCCTGGAGAATGCTCCAAAACTAGGACAACACAATCAGAGATGATCTCATAAATCAGTAAAAGCTGCTCACAAAAAAAAAAACAAAGATAGTCAATGCAAATTGAATGCAAGGTTAGGGAAGAGGAGATATTTTGTAGGAAATATAGTATTTAAAGGGGGAAAAATATTCCACAAAAATTTTATAAATTAAAGAGTAAAAAGGCAGCTAAATAAATAGTTTACAAGTTATTTAAGTTAAGTTAAGTTAATAAAAACCCTCTCACATATCACAGATATGTTTTAAAAAATGCTTTAGCTTAAAGTCAAAATCAATTAGAAACTCTGGCTACCTTTTCAGACCTTTTAGGCTACATTTTTTCCCTAGATCCATTTGAGTTTCAATTATGGTAATAGAAAAACAAGTAATTAATGGTATATAAACCTTTTTTTCCCTCTCAAAGAACCCTAAGTCTATTTTAACCCCATATTTTTTTGACCATTTCTGACCATTTCTGACCCGTAAGCCAGTTTGTGTTTCACCTTCAATTGAGGGGGTGCGTGTGTGTGAGGCTGTTCAAATAAATGACAAATCCAAATTATTTTGACACCATTACCAAAAATGCTCGCGCACAAATACACTGCAAGAAATAACAGGGCAGGGATACTTGAATAACAATTGAACAAAAGCACAAAACTCAAGTGGCAAGGCTATAGAAGGGATATATGTATATATGGATATATATGTATAGGTAAAGCCCAGACATCAGACATGGCAACATATTGTGCCATGTAGCAGGCAACAACAACAGCAGGAATCAGGGAAAGCAGGCAGGGAAACCAGGCAGGGAAAGCGGTGGGGGGAAAAGCCGTAGACAGACAGACACGCTCTGGGAAATTGTCAAGGGAGTGGGGGAAATGGCAGTCCAACTGTCTTTTTGTCCTTCTGTCTGGCTGTTACCCCCCTTTATAATCTGCCACCCCCTCTTTTTCCACCCACCCCCTCTCTCTCTCTCTCCCCTTAACCATCTGTCTGGACGGTCTACGTGCGAGAATGAAAATGCCGGGGAAAAACTAGGGAATGGCGGCACACAGGAGCTATCTGTCGCGGGCTCTGCTGCAAATTGCCAGTTAAAATTTTGCTGACATGTCAGCAGCAAACGTCAAACGCACCATGGGAATCCCCTCCTCTTTACCAGCAATGAAGAGAGAGAGAGGGAGAGAGTGAGAGGGGTATAGGAGACAAGAGACAGAGACAGGCCCCCCCCGCCCACTCGATGGGGACAAGTGTCAAGTGGAGTTTTACGAGATTTGTTTCGATTTTGTTTAGTTCCCCCTTTTCCCCACACACCTCGTTCAATGGGTGTCGTGTCGCCATCGATGAGTGTTGAAAATATGAAGCGAAAACAATCGGTTTATCGCTTCAGTTGTCTATCGATAACATTGAATGGAAATTTGTAATGAAATTTTAAAAACAATGGCTATGTTTTATGGCTTACTTGAAGGGAGTTTAATACAATATCTATTATTTAGTAAATATTATTTATTATTTTCATAAAAATTTAACACAAAATGATAGATTAATATATAATGGCTATGTATCAAATTTAATGAAAATATCTTGAATTATCCGATCGTTCCTATGTCAGCTATATATATATATAGTTAATTACTGTTGAAAAATACGTACTGATCCTCTACGTTTAACAATCGTTTCTCTGGCAGTTATATTATATAGTCTTCCGATTTTTATAAAACTAAATACAATATTCTATAATAATAAAAGATAGATTTGAATCAAATAAGATAAAAATATGTTAAAATATTTAAAAGTTATAATTTTTTATAATACCCTGCCAGGGTATGAATATATGTATTATATATTCATGTATTTTTATTGATAGCTTAAAAATCGATAACATGAAAATAATATAGAAACCCATGCACTCTTGTTACATTTCAGTTGATTTATTTTGCAAATATTTTTCCCTTTTAAATTCAATTTAATTTGGTGGTAATTTAGCAAATATTTTTCAAACTGCTAAAAAAAAAACGAACAGAAACCTATTGACACATTTTTGCACAGCTGATGGATGGTATTTCTATATAAAATACACATATATTCAATATGTACAACACTCTAAACCATCAATAAAAATCTATTTAGTGGCTGGAAAATATTTCTATATATACATAGATATCACCTAACATGGCAACCGTGCAGTGACCACTAATTAAATACAAATCTGTGCAAAACATCCAACAAATGCATATATATATATATATATTTCTTTTTGGAAACTTTTGGTTAGTGGTAGTAATTACCGTGGCTTAAAACCAAACAAAAATAATAATTATGCCTGATTATTATTATGAATGAGAGTGCTTCGAAAAGGCGACAAATTCGGCGGAATTCGGGGGGTCTGACTCTTGTCTTTGACTTGACTCGGGGCCAAGAAGCGACCTTCGGTTGCCAAACGTGGGGTAAATATTGACTCACAGTCCCTGCTTAATCGAAGCCAAATTGAAAGCCAAACATAAATACGATTCCCCACTCAGTCAGTCAGTCATTCAGTTATTCAGTCAGTCAGCCAATGAGCCAAGGGCAGCGTTTAATAAACTCTGAGCGTGTCGAAAAATATAAATACAGAAAAATAATGTGAAACGAAACGCAAATGCATTCCAATGTGGGTGAAGATAATAATAATGATGGCTCTACGAAGGATGATGTTATATATATACAATATATATATGATGGGGTCAGCTCTTCAAATATGCAGGGCAACGCGTGTGTCAGCCATAAAAATTCGAAAAAAAAAACTAAAAACTATAAACACTGAAAAGCAGCATAGAGTAAACCTAAAGTGAAGTAAAGTAAAGTGTGATAAAATGTCATTGAAATGTCAGTTCAATGAGTTTTGGGGAGAATGGCTGCAATATATGTATATATAAATATATGTAGAGAGAAGAAGAGCTCTGACAAAGTGATCACTTGACTTTGGTCCAGTATCTATGGTTATGACAGATTTATGATGGCTCTCTGTCAGTGAAATTGTGGGCATTTGTGCGGCTGCTCAGGGCATAAATAAATGTATATATATAAACTAGATTTTAAACTATAATAATTGTTAGGAAAATACCTGCCATGTGCCAGGTTTTTAAGTTATATTAAAGCTGCTTTTAAGTTGGAAGTAAAAGTGAAATAAACTGCTTAAACTTAAGAGAACTTTTGCTATTTGTAAACCTTTTTCCAGTTCAGCAATCTGCTCAACTTAGAGACATATTTTGCCTTTACTAATAAGTTTCTAATACCCGAAAAAATCTGTTTATACAATTTTGGAGGATGCAACCCTCTTGTCAAATCCCTAACTAATTATCCTCACTCAAGCAGGAAAGAAAGAAAATATCTTGGAAAAGAATTTCCACATCAACATGGTGCATGTCTTCCGATTTCGATTTTGATTTTGACTCTCAAATTCCAACTCCAATTGGCAATTGTCAACCCTCGTCTTGTCTGACTTTTTTTTTCGAGCGTGATGGCCTTGCCTTCTGTTTTTCCCCTCCCTACAGCCACTTTTCCTGCTTTTCCACTTTTCCTAGTAGCTTTGTTTTTATTGTTTGCCTGTCGTCCTCCCAACAATTGATACATTGATAAATGATGTTGCCGACACTCGGCACTCGACGCCCGACGCTAATTTTGTGTGACAAACAGTTACATGTCAATTCCCCTCGTTTGCCAGAGCTACTTGGTCCTGTCCCAAGGAGCTGCTCCCTAGGGAGTCGTGCCTCCATATCCTTGTGATACCCTATGCAGTGTGGGGTAACTATATTTTGAAGGATAATTAAATCAAAGTTTAAGTATAGAGGTTACTTCGAAGGAGGTTTAAGCTTCTTGCTTCCCTTCAACTTAAACAAGGGTACTGACCTCTTCGTTTCCTTGAAACCAAGAAAGCCTAGGTTATATACCCCCCACGCACTTAATGCTGGCTTGTCAGGCAATGTCCTAGCTGAAGCACTCGCAGGATAATGGCCCACATCCTGTTCAACCAGAAATTGATGTTAATTTGAGGCAAGGAAAATCAAATACAAGGACAAAGTCTCGTCCTATTCTAAGCAATTAAAATGCTATTAGGGGGGCGGGGAAAATCCACGAAATGATTATTACGCTTTCGATTTAATACAGGCCAAGAAATTTATGATTATGATGGATAGGGAAGGTTCCTTCTTCCTTCCTCACCATCTGAGCAATTCTAGTCTCGAACGGGTCCTATGTCGGAGGAAAACTACGATGCATTTAAATTGGGTATTTGACCTGTTTGAAAGAGTTCCTCCAGCATTTCCATCTCCTCCGGCATAGTGTCCTCATCCACAGCCGGCGGTAAGTGACCATATTGTGCCACATAACGGAGGTGAGAACGAATGTCCTTGAGCCAGCATGATTCCTCCAAGGGTTCATAGGCCTCAGGATAAACGAGTAGCGGAGCAACGGGTATCGAAGCCAAACGGTTTCTTTCTCTCCTGCGAAAGGATTAAAAACACTTGCTTTAAGGAAAAGAAAATCTTATAAATCTATAACGAATCACTCACATGTTTATGGCCAGCAGCATTCGCCTTAGCTTCCCAAAGACAAAGCCCACGAGAATAGCCAGAATGGCTAGGACCAGACAAAGGATCAAAGACATATTTTAAGGAAAAATTAGTCAGACTTTACACTAAAACACTAACAATAAATTTTGTTGTTTTTAGAAAAAAACTTGAAATTTTATGAATATATATTATATATATGTATGAATTGGTATGCCAACGTTAGAAAGTAAGCAAACACTGAAAACCTTACAGGAAATTGCTATTGAAGTTGTTCAGAGAGTTTTTTCAAAGATTACTAGATCTAAGAATGAAAACCATACAGGAAATTGCTATTGAATTTGTTCAGAGAGATTATTCAAATATTACTAGATCTAAAACGCAAATCACGAACTCTACACTTTTAAATCTCCCAAACCTAATGCTCATCTTTATTCCATTCCATTCTATTGTTTTTATCAGCTAATTAATAAGCTGTAGATACTCTGGAGTTGCTTGGGTTTATGGGTTTTATGATTATGATGTAACGAAGTTAAGAGTGTTCATAATTTAAGAAGTTATTGATGAGTTAAATTGTTTTGTTAAGACTGTTGAGTGTTTAATTTATATTTATTCCTATATTTCATGTCACCAAAGTATATATTTTTATTATAAAAACATATAAAATTACAGAAACAAAATAAATAAAGAGGAAAAAGATTTTTTCTTTCTTCCATGAAGTTCTTTCTATAATAAATACTTTAATAATAATTAAACTGCCAGGGTGTTATAAGTTTAGTTAGGAGCTTCAAAAGCAGTGAAATAATCATTTCCGACCCTATAAATCATATATATTCTTGATCAGCATAAACAGCCAAATCAATCTAGCCATCTAAGAGAAAAAAAAAAATTTGGAAAATTTTTTTCAAAATTTTATAAGGTGTTAAATCATTAAAATTAAAAAAAAAATGATAAAAATTTTAAAATTTGTAAAATTTAAATGGAGTATGCAGATTTATAAACCTGATAAAAAACTAGCATAGAACAGCTTTATGAATTAAAATATATCCCTTTTTGGCAAAGTTATCAGTATTTTAAGCTTTGACTTGTGGTCAAAAATGTGTCATGAAAATCTCTATAAATAACTATTCAAATGAAATATTTTATGTTTAGTAATGATCGATTTTTAATACTATCTAATATTAAAATTACAAATTTAAAGGTTGTATTAACTTAAGCTTCCGGAACTTAGTTTCCTTTTCTTGTTTGTTTATTCTTTTCCTGAAAAATACCCAATTTTGTTGTTTCTTGAAAAGTTCAGGGTATTCTTCAGCCTAAACTCTCTCTCTCTCTCCCCCCTACTAGCTGGCGAATCTGCCTAATTGCTGTGCTTAATTTTGTTGCTCGTGGTAGTTGCTCATCCATGAAATGTGCCAGCGATTAAGCCTAGACCTGTGACCATGTCCACTTTTGCTACTACTACTGTCTGATGACCGATCTGACCGATGATCGTAGCTGCGATACTGAGTGATTATAATGATGAGCACATCTCCCAGAATATTCCAAAAAAAGATATATTCAACTAGCCGGAAGTGGGCGGCCAGGTCGATTATTTGATGATTTTCATGGTTAGTTTGAGCGTCGCTTTCCGCCAGAGTGAACCTTCAGAGGATTACCACCATCTCTCGTATTTATATTCATGTTTCTATATATATATATATATATATATATATTTATGGCCCCATGTTGGGTTATTGAATTTGCAATCCAACCCCAGCCGTTGATTATTCATTATTTTTGAGATTTTTTGTAGTTTTTGTATTATTTTTTCTACTTCTCTTTCACACTCATTGATTTGTTTATAATTTTTTTTTTTTGCTCCCTTCCATTGTTAATTGCGTTAAGCCCAAGTCAATTATCGAGTGAAACCAAAGGGGGAATGGTACTCGAAGGGGGTTTTAATTTTAATCCTCCCTTCCCCCTCCCCACTCGTTGTTAACTGATTTATTTTGTTGTAAATAGTTTTTTTTATATATATGTCATTGTATATTGTTATTGTACTTTATTGTGGCAATTTTTACTGTCGCCCTCAATGAATGGATGAGTGATCGATGGTTGACTAAAGCCAGTAGAGAGGGATTAAGGCTGCCAGGGAAAAAGGTGACATCATATAGGAAAACGAATCAGGCAATGTCTGGATAAGGCTGGATATTATATATAGGGAAATGTATAGAAAATAGAGAGAGTATAAGACGGAACTAGAGGGTTAAATATGACATAGAAAAATATATAGAAAATATAAAAAGTACAAGAGGTTACTGGAGGGTTAAATATGAAAATAATATAATATAAATAATAGGGGAAGCTTGGCAAGAAGGTAGGACAATATTGTGATATATATTCAGAGATATATATTCCTAAACACATCCTTAAACACAAATCTTTGAAAATTATAACAACTTTCTTATATATTTATTTATTTTAACAATTTCCTTATGTTTTGGGAGTTTCTAAACCCTTTTCAATAATAAAATCTAACACAGTTGACTTCACTAAGCTAAAAACGTAAAGATTTTAAACTTGAAAGATCAGAAAAAACCAGAAAAGATCAGAAAAGATCAGAAAAGATCACAAAACGAACCGAAAAAAGAGCAACCTTAGACAAAAAATAAACCCCTAAAGCAATCAGAGTTAATCTCCACCTGGTTCCAGGTTCAAAGAGCGATCAAAGTGACCCCGGTTGTGTGTATTTTTGTGTGTGCTTTGGAGGCTGAGTACAAAATCTGAGATCGCCCAAGTGTGTAGCCAAAAGATAAAGAAAATTAAAACGCTTTCAATGCCCCCGCGGGCCCTGCCAAGTCAAGGCATCAACCTCAAAATCAACTCACAAATCTCTGGCTGGTTTTTTTTTTGTGGAGTTTCTTGAACTCTCCTCGGAGGCGGAAGTGGCAGTAGTTATGACTCAAACACATCTGATGGCTACAGATGCTGATGCCTGAATGTGGGCAGTGTATTTATTATTTTTTTTTTTTTTGGAGGGAGTGGACTGTACTACACTCCCCTACACACTCCCCCTATACACTCTCCTACTTTTCTCCCACACTCCTTAACTATAGTCTGAGCACGCTTCGGAATCCGTATCCAAAATCCAATTGAATGATGGCTTGTTCATTTATATTCATATATAAATATATTTCACTATGCTGTCATAAATTCATTTTCGTAGGCGCCCACACGCCTTTTGCCTTTTGCCTTTGCCATCGAGGAGTTGACTGACAATCGCATTTAGATGTCAGAAAAACTATTTTTAATTTCACACCTCGCTGTGATTTACGGAGGGCAGGAACTGGGAACTTAGATCTTGGGGGACTTCGAGTTTCGGGGTCTTTGGGGTCTTTGCTAACAGATCCCAGCTGGCAGGGATTGGGAGACGGCTATGGTGACATTAGGGTGTAATCCCCTTGTTTTGGGTTAGGGTGGGGGATAAGCATTCATAAGGCATTACCACGTCATAAAATGAGTAAAGAATATTTAGAAAGGGGGGGCTTATAGAGGGGGCTTCTAGAGGGGTTTCTAGAGGGGGCTTCTAGAGGGGTTTTTAGAAGGGTTTTTTGGGGGATATTGTAAAGGGGTTTTAAGAGGGGTTTCTGTAGTTTTTGATGTGCTTTTTGGTGTGAATTTTAATTGTTTAATGAAATTAAGAGACAACTACGAATATTATTTATTTACATTTGTTAAATATATTTGCCTTTGATTTAATTAATTGATATACAAATCCCGATTATTTATAAGTTTTAAAAGGTTATATACATGTTATAAAAAAAACTTTAGGTTACTTTTAATTTCCTAAAGATTAGATACAAGTTTTAAGAAGGTTTTGAAAGGGATTTTGAGGAGAGATTCTAGATGGGATTTAAAAAGAGTATTTTGAGAGCTTCCAAGAGGTCTTTTTAGCATAATTTTAGTTAGGGGTTTCGATTTTTGTAAGCTTAACATCTATTATTTTTATCCATTTACAAGGTAACATAATTATAGTCAGAAGCTTAAAACTTAGTGAAGAAGTCATTTGCGACCCCATAAATCATATATATTCTTGATCAGCATGAAAAGGCGAGTCGATCTAGCCATGTCCGATAAAAAATAATATTTTCAAAATTTTCCAAAACATTTTAAGGGGTTACATCGTAAAAAATGCCAAAAAAAATTACAAAAAATTTAATTTTTTTAAAATTTAAATTCAGTATGCAGATTTATTAACCTAACGAAAACTAGCATAGGACAGCTTTCCGAATTAAAATTAATGCATTTTTGGCTTAGTTATGATATAATTAAAATGCCAATATCCTTAACCAATATTAAACTAGAAATTTATACAAACTTCGGCTTTCCAAAGTTAGATTTATTTCTTGTCCTATATTATTTCTGATAAGGGTCTTGAGAGAGTTTTGTTTTTAAGAAGTTTCTTTTTAAAAGGGTTTAATCATTAATTTTGAAGCATTGTGGTTCTTAAAAACATTATCTGATACAAAATATAGCAATTCATTGTATATACCTTTAAGTACGATGAGTTTTGGGTAGGTTTTAAGAAGAGTCCTTAAAAGAAGTTTCAAAATGGCTTTATAGGATGTTTTTTAAGTTCTTGATATACTGTAGATTTAGATTTTAATAAACTTTAGCCCACACAGACTGCACATTTTATTTAAATATATATATTTTAATATATAGAATTTAATTGAATTCTCCCATATATGTCAATGACGATCACCGATATAGCTTTCAACTCGCAAATGCACCATTTTCTTGACTGCTTTTTTATTTATTTATATTTTTTTCTGCTGCCAATTAAATGAGTTTGACCCATTTCCCGAGGCGGCAAAACAACAACAACAACGAGAGATGTGTGAGTTCACAAGGCCTGGGAAAAAGCGGAAAAGTGGAAATGTGAAAATGTGCAGAGTGTGTGGCACAGGGATCCGATTCAAAATCGGGAGTAATGTGTGCCAGCGTCAGCCTGCTTTTCATGCTTTTTCCAGCTCATTCTGCTCCTTCTTGTTTTTTGAAAACTCAAACAAAACCCATAGACGCCTCGCCCGCTTCCTGTGTTGTCCTCTGCAAATGAAAATGAAAATGGAATTAAGCACACAAGCAGCAGGCGGAGAGGGGAGTGTGTAGATACATTTAGAGATATATAAACATATATATATATTCCTCTTCTCTTATTTTTTTTTCTTGTGTGCACTTAAAGATACAAGACAAAATGAGATAGAGAGAGAGGGAAAAAGTTCAAGTATCCTAAAAGTGATTCTCCAA